CCGTTACCCCAAATTCTTTTTACCCTGGTACCCAAGATCTCATCAGGTTTTTGTTTTCCCAGGTTTGGAGATTCTGCACACATTCTCTCATTCTCTGACTTATTTGGTGTGGTTTTTTTATATGCTAATGCTTAATAGCTCTGCTTAGCTGACTATTTTATGAGGAATTTTTTGCCAGCCTCTTTTAAGATTTTCTAGGGCACAAGTACTGATGTATTGTATTTCAGCTTGAAAGGCCGATTAATAAGTTCGATTGCTCATGTTTTGGGCTAGTATAAAAAATGCCCGATCATGTGTTTCTTCATTCATGTGCTTTGGTAACCATAATAGCCATCTGTATTCCATATGTATGTATCTGATCTTCTTCTTGTCCTTGTAATCTGTTGAGACTTTATAGAATGTTGTGAAAAGTGTTTTCCGGGATCATGTAGTGAAATACCATTGCTAAGAAAGGGGTCTGAATTTATTGATTGTTCTGTGCCCGAAGTGTTTAATTACTTTTCTTTTGGTTCTAATAATCGGACGTGCGTTTGCGTTTACTCACCTTTACTTGTACTCAACTTCAATTTAAGCTTTTGTTCTGGCGAAAATGAATCTACCAACTTCACAGATAGTAGCACAGATAGAGGAACGAGATCTTTTCCTTCCGTTTTAACTCAGTTCAGTCTTATTTATTACGTTTTGTCACGTCCTGTTTACAATTGTACAACTCCGCTTCACTGAAACTCCTCCGCAAATATTGCGGGCTGATGAATTCTTTTCCTCACAATTTATAGCCAAATTCTGTAACCGGCGTAACTAAGCCCTAATTGCTTTGAAAGAAATGAACAAAAGGGACGCCTAATGGTGCCGTTAACATCCTCATTCTGACCCTTTATACCCGTAATCGTGTGGTCCCGGGGGCAAAGTAGAACAGCGAACGTAACACGATTATCGGATCTAATGGGTCCTGGATATTGTGACGTAACACTTAAAAAAAGTCGTTAAGGTAAAGTAAAATGGCATTAATTTATCCGTTACCGCACACAACATCTTTAATCAATTTTTAAATAAAAGAAATGTTGAAAGTTTGTTAACAAAAATAATATAATCCAGTTTCTATAAACCTTTTCTGTAGCATTGCTTAAAATCATTTAAATCTCCTTCCGAATAAAAGAAATAATTTTTATTTTCACAACTTGTTTTAAGGTGAGTTAATCGTTTAAAGACTCGCTCATCTAACTAACTAATGGAATGGCGATATTAAACTTATTTAAGATCTGCCTGTATTGTAGGACGATGAATGTGTTGTGTTATTGAAGGGAGGAAAGAGAAAGGACAAAGATCCATTCTATCAATATACACTAATCTCACAATAGTTTATAATTTCTGAAAATACACTATACAAATACATTTTACCATACAAATTAAAATGATTAACATTATGCATATTTTATGTACTGAACAAAAAAATAAATAATTATTTGCATAGCTTCCTAGCTTCCGGCCGTGTTTGACGAACCCTCCGCTATTTATTTTACGTTGTCATTTATTACGGATAAACATAAAAACACTAAGCTTTTATTGAAAATTGACTGCAATGACAAAATAACCCATGCCAAAGAGTAAATCTTAATCATCTATTTCTAATTCTTGGAAGAATTCTTTCTTCAATTCCAATAATCAAGCAGAGCCAATCGGCAGCCTGGAATGCAGAGAATGCTAAATGGCTGGGGGTGAACTTTGAGGCTTGAATCGATATTAATTCAAATTTATCGGCGATATAAGAGGGATTCGGCAAATAGAAGCCACGTAGTGTTTTACTCACCACCTTCTAAAATCAAAACCGATAAAAGTCTAAAGATGCTTGTTGTGAAAATGGAAATGTGATAAAAATGTATTAACCTTTTAAAAGGGAAATCTGTTTCAAAAATAACTACCCTCACAACAATCCTAAAAGTATTGACAATGATGTAGTTCATTGCAAATATCATGTTTGCAATTATGTTTATGCCACAAAATAAAAATTAAGAAAAATAAATTATGTTTGTTTTACCGACAACCACTAAGAATAAAATAAACAAATGTATACTACCACCTAAAGTAAACTATTATCTATCAATGTGCACTATTGTTATTAAACACGAGTGTAGGAAGCAAGTATTTCCAGGTTTTTACCCGGTTGGATCCCAGGAGTAAAGTTCTGAAACGATTTTGCTGCTATTTGCTAAGTCGGCCGACCATCCAGTAACCCCAGTCATTAAAATAATTTAAGTTAAATATCAACAGCTCGGATATGATTTTAAAACGACACCAATAAATTTGGTACGTCCTATTTTACTATTAAACTTTTATCATTCATTCCATCTTATTGTTAGTAATAATAACATTTAACTGACAAATTTGACAAAAAATAATATTCTTGTAAACATCAATGAAATGAAGGAAATTCTGTTAATTTTTTTTTTTAATTTACGAGATCAAATAAAATTAAACAACAATGCATCGCCAAATAAAACACAACACAAACAATATTTACGGGGAAGTGGACTAGAGTGACTCACAAATTTATTGGATGTAGTCAAAGAATATGGAGGAGCGGATGTCAGGAGTTTGTACATTTAGAAGGCACGGTGCCAGGACATTAGAAAGCCTAAGAATCCTATAAACACTTGTAGAACACTTTTTTATTTACAAATATCAGCTTGAATTTTCTCCCCATTATACAAGACAAATTTTTAACCACAAACAGGAATGAGAGTGAGAGAAAGAAAGAGAGAGAGAGAGATAAGAGGAGAGAGAGAGAGAGAGAGAGAGAGAGGGAGTGGGAGAGGGGTGAGAGAGGAGAGAGAGAGGGAGAGGGGAGAGAGAGAGTGAGAGGGGGTGAGGGAGAGGGAGAGAGAAGAGTGAGTGAGTGAGAGGGAAAGAGAGCGAGCGAGAGAGAAGAGTGCGTGAGTGAGTGAGTGAGAGGGAAAGAGAGCGAGCGAGAGAGAAGAGTGAGAGTGTGTGTGTGTGTGTGTGTGTGTGCGTGCGTGCGTGCGTGCGTGCGTGCGTGTGTGTGTGTGAGAGTGAGAGAGAGAGAGAGAGAGAGAGAGAGAGAGAGAACGAGAGAGCGGAAGTGACAGAGCGAGAGAGATATAGTGTTGCGTGTGTGTGTGTGTGTGTGTGTGTGTGTGTGTGTGTGTGTGTGTGTGTGTGGGCGCGCGCGCGCGTGTGCGTGTTGTAAACGGCATTTAATTTTTTCACTATATATGAGAGGATCACTCAAATTAAACGCTTTTATTTGCAAAAAAAAACTAATTTGATTTAGCATGTGCAGATCCTCATTCCAGCAGTCCATGAATATGGATATATTTCTATTAAAGGGACTTTAATCAGTCAATCTTACAGAAGCTAGAAAAGGTGAGACCGCTCTGAACCATTTAAAATTGAAGTTTTATCCCTTAAGCGAAACAAATTTTACAAGAGCGTCAAAAGTTAAAATATTTTTAGCATTTTATTGGTCGTTTATTTTTCCTACTTTCCTAACAAACACGCTACTATTTTGGTGACTTAAAATGACATTAAACTCAGCCGTAAATAATGACTTCACTTAACTCGTTTTGAACACTTCTTGTGGTTTACAAGTTCCATTTGTCACAATCAAAATAAAACAAATCTTTTTTTACCGGGTTAGTAACTGCGACCAAAATTGCCGTTATAAGTTTTGATGAGTACGGCCTACATGGATATATAACTGGCGTGGATTCGTATGTCGTACGCGTGCGGGGCTATAAGAATGATGCTCTCAAAATGACAACGTAGGTGGTGGTTGGTGAAAAAAAAAAACAGCCATAGTCACGTTTACTATTCTCTTCAACTTGACGGATGATGGTACCATGCTCGGAATACGCTTCCAGTAAAAGTCTTGAATTGTCCTAAACGTCTCTAGGACTTTTACACTTCTGAGTTGACTTTATGTCATGTTCAGTTCAACAATTTCATTCTCCTTTGAGATATTTGAGGTGAACGACTTGCGTTTTGTCAGTTTCATTAATTTTGATATTATGGGATATTAAAGTAAAGAATATACTCTTGCACAGGACAAACTTTTATGTAATGTTACTAGCCTTACTCCGACAATATGAGATTATTGATATGGCGTGACATTTAATGTTTTTGTACGTTTTTTGCGAGTTTTCCTGGAGAGCATATATTGGAGGAATGAACAAAATTAAGGGAGTTTGTTTTTATATCAAACCTAACTCATGATTACAGTACAAAAGCTATTGTCCATTAAATTAACCACGCAAAAGCTATGCACAGAATTTTTTTAAATAATCCGTAATTTTTTTGAGTAGGATTCAATTTTTTCTTCAAGGATGAATAAATCTTAGAGACAATCTTAGCAATAAATTTGTAAGTAACAAAGCACACAAACAAACCGCCCGATTCCTTCTGACTTCGAGGGAGTTGTTTCGACACATGTCCAGTGGATTTAAGAGATAGTCGAATATATTTACATGTGTTTGGGGATTCCGTGAGAGATTAATCGTTTTTATGTATTTGCAACACAATGTAAAATAAGAAACAAACCGTAAGGAGAGTGCAACCGTACAAGATCAGGACAAAGCTGAGTTAATATATTTTTTAAAGAGAATGTGGGAGCAGGGTAGGAATTACTTTATCTCGAGCAAAAAACGTAATCTTCTAGATGATTAGCGTAAACTCAATTTACGTTCACAACTTATAAATTAAAAAAAAACTGGAAATAATATAATAATGTAATCATATATGAATTTAATCGATACCAAACTAAACCGAAAGCCAAGTAACCAACTTCATATTTAAATTATTGCACCTATTCATTAAAATACAAGTGAACGAACGCTACTATAATTTGTAACTAGAAAAATATATACTTGTAAATATAATATTAACACTCACCTTAATCACAACACTAATGTATCGGGCTTACAGAACGGTAAAACTGAAATTAAATAAAAACATATTTCTTTTAGGTTATGAGTATTAAAGGATATTCAACCATGGCTTGAACACCATTCTTCTTGAATATGACGATACGGAGCACTTGGCCGTTTGGTTTGCAAATAGTATGAAGTACATCCTGAAACAAACATAATTCATTATTACGATGGGTCTGTGCAGTTAAATCTTAGCTAAATAATTTTTCTATAATTTTAACTCCTAATTTTATTTAAACAGGTTGCCAGCTCATTAAATTATAAAAAAAACTCATTAGCTACTAAACAACTATGTATGTCGTGCAAATGCAAGAAAATTGTTAAGTCAAATTAAAATATTACGTAGAACAGACGACTACACGAAAAATGGTTGTGTCGATTTTAGAATAAGGTTCCTTTATTGTAAAAGTATACTTCGTCTGAGCAAATGGGACAGTCAAAACATTTTCGCTCTTCCTAAACGTATATGCGATGGTGCCTTTTTGTAAAATAACACAATTTTCAATAATAAGGAAAAGAAATACTGTACAATATAAATCTTTTGCATTAATATTAATTTTCTTTATGTTTCCTTATTTTCCCCTATCACTTTTTAGCACGTCATTATGTTACGAAACAGTATCAATTTGCAAAAGAAAAAAGAATTTTTTTGTCATTTACCACTTTGTAAACAGCAGCTAAAGTCGTGTCGACCAATCAAACACGTAGGCTAAGCCACTTTCGTAGAATGCATTCTCACAAATTTGAATCCCAATAATAAATATTTTTTGGACAGAAAGTGATGATTTCGATAGAAGTCACGATATATGGAACCTGATGAAAAGACCATAGATTTCTCCATGTCGTTCTTCTTTGAAAAGAAGGGATGTGGCTGAATGCAGTAATATATAACGAAAGCGCCTTACATTAGATAAAAGGGCGAAACAATGACAAAAGCATGATAAATCTCGGAAAATGGAGATAGATATTTAGAAATATTCTAAGGGACAAAAGGGAAAATGGGAAGAGCTTTTTTGCGGGCAACAGGTCGTATATTTTCCTTACAGCACCCGAACAATATACAATTATTTAATTTCTGTCTCTTATTTTCCACGGGATATTTCATTTTGATAATATGTAGTTAGAGTTGTTAAATTGTGCAACAAAAGTAATGGTGACAAAATATATTTAACATCGCCAGCCCTCTCTCCTTTAGCTTTGCATTTCTTTTCTTATATTTCTTGCGTTTTATCTTAGAACCTCGTCAATTGTGGATAAAATAAGACAAATTACACAGAAAGACAAAAAACATGTATGTGAGTGTTCACACTACCCCAGATAATCGATATTCCTCGGGAAATTGGGGATGAGCCCCTATATTCACGCTAATAAATTACATTCACACTACCCCAGAGTACTCGATAGTCCTCGGATTAATTGAAGATAAACCCTGCCATTCACGATATAAATTACACAGACGCGCGCGCATCATTCACGCTACCCAATAGTACTAGATATTCCTCGGATTGTTTTTAACAAACTCAATTCAGAGAAAATAAACATATCCAATCGCTATGGATAGTTGATTTTGTGTCTGGGTCTCCACCGACCTTGGCCATCAAGCCCCGATAACTACGGCTTTTCATCAATTTAGTGTATACCTAGACCGTTTAATCCAGTATTCATTACATCTTGTTTCGGTTTCGTAGAAATTTCGGACTGCTCGCCTCAACACTCAACAAATTGTCAAACCTTCTTTTCTTGGATAATACAGTAATCATTATAATGAAGACCTATCGGCCAAAGGAAAGGAGCAGACACGTAGTTAAAGCAAGTAAGAAAGAAGTCATGGCAAATGGTTGTGTGCATGAGGTGTTGGATGAGTGTGGACTAATGGTCCGTTACCAAGAGGGAACAAAAATATCCTCCGTGTCGCCCACCTGTACATTTGTAACCATTCCCGAAATACACGTTCTCGAGTCCCGGTTAGAGACGAGTAATAGCGATAGAGACGGTGAGTTTCTTAACCAATTATCGACATCAATCGAATCTCAAATTCGGATTAATATGAGTCAGGTGGCTAGGACAGCTAGAACAGACCAATTAATTCAACTATTCCCCTACTCAAAGGGAACTTAAATTCGGCCAAACCTATCCCCCACTAAACTGAACACTCATTTGTACGTGTCCGCGGTATAAATAGGTGTAAGAGAGACAGAAGAGTTTATAACTATAAATAGGATCGAATCGTTCTATTACGTACCACTAACATTCCTATGTATAAGAAAATGGGTTCGAGCTATTAATTATTGCACATTACTTCAAATAATATTCCAGCTATTTGTTTAGACTAGTTACATTTAAACATCAAGTGAATTTGAGTTTTAAAAGTTAATTATCACGATATAAATATAAACATTAATTTTATTTTCTGTTCGTCCTAGATCGAAGCTGTTCTAGAATGCGTCCGTTGTGTGCTTAATAGGTTTAAACCCAGTATCATCCTTTTTTTAAAAAAAGATAAGTTTCTACTCACAGTAAGACTTACTGTGAGTAGGAACTATCTTTTTTAAAAAAGGATTGAACGCCGCACTCACTCCATCAATCATCATTTCCAGTATCATCCCTTCTACAATTCAAACAATAAATTTACAAAAGATGAATACGAAAAACAAAACTAGTATCCGAAGATGGTCAAATGACGAAACACGTCTTAACAACACATTAAACCGATAATATGCCGACCTAGATGATCGGAAACCGAAACACCGCAGATCTCAACACAATATCATCCTGAAATACTTTTGAGTTTTGTTCAGTAACATATTAAAAAAGGAACGATTTTTTGATGCTCCGCAGGAAAAATACTGTTATAAATTAATATCTAATTGATTTATTATTTTTTATGCAATGTGACTGCATAAAAAAATTAGTGCCACGAGCGGATTCATGGGTTCAAGTCCGGCTCGTGACACTCATTTTTCAACTCAACCTCAATGTGCATAAAAATTACAAATCAATTAAAATAATTACTTTGTTTAATACGACCAACTAAAACATGTATATGTATAAAACATGTATCTTTAGAAGATTGCAGATTTGTTTTAACATTTATTATTAAATTTATTACATTTAACAATATTTTATTTTGTTAGTATTTCTAGATTAAGAAAGTTGGAAAACTCTTAAAGTTATTAAACTGGTAAGGTCGTTGGACTAATAACAGGGAGAGAATACTGTGTAATATAAATGTGGTATGAAGGAGATCCATGCAGAATCGGAGACCACTCAACGCCATTGAAACCCTACCAGTTTATGATGACGTGGGGAAAAATGGTTGGAAGGAGTCTCCTACCCTGGGACCGTGTTACACCCTGACAGGCTTTGACACTCGGGTCGATAAGAAACGTGCACAACTTTACAATTACAAACAATCCGGGATAATTCCTCGGTCGTGGCAAAAATTGTGATAACGTGTATACAAAAATTTTTACTTCAAAATTTATTATTTTTGAATTACCGTTGATGTTCAATATACAGCCGATGTACAATTTGCAGTTGCAATATATGCAGTTGCAACCGGTAAAAGGAATAAGGTCTATGAATAAAGTGAGGATGAAAAATAAAATTAATTAATTAGGACATTGCGGAGTCAGACTGTTGGCTTATTTATGAAGGAAAAAGAAAGATATTGCGACCAGGATTTGCAAAGGTATTGGCAACAAGAGGCACATGCGCAGTTCCTTGTCAGGAAGAATATAGCGATGGCGATTTTTTCACCTATCCGACCCAACCCAGGGCCGCCACCTCGGTACACAGCAGTTTAAAATTATTTGAACTTCGCTTTCAGTCGAAGTGCCGACAGCTTGTCACTGCCAAGGAAATGTCGGCCCCTGAAGAAAATATGACGACACATGCGACAGCTTGAGCATTTAGGGCGATTAATCTCTATTCTCAATGCAGCATTGAGTCATCATGAGAAGTTCTTCAATATGAGTAACACAATTCGTCTCGTCAAAGACAGACTGATTCTACGGGCACAGGAATATGAAAAGGAGACATCCTAACCTCTACAGAAATAGTTATGACGGAGTGAGTATATCAATTCGTTGGATGACAAAGATAGTTCTAATACTAACGTACTGTTTTTCGCCGTTATCAGGATTTCGAGCGCTTAAATGCTCATCGACAGGGTAAATAAAATCTACAGGTACGTATAGACAAATCGAAATCCATATAATAACCGCGAAAAACTTTTTGTAAATAGAACCATTGTTGCCATCCAATAGTTAGCTCCTTATTCGAAGAATGATACGGGAGAGATATCCCGTGAAAGGTCTTTAACGATCAGTCGGGTAAACACAGACGAGACCCGACTAATCATAATAAGGACCACCGCGCAAATTCCATCTCATTGCAAAGGGTGTATGCAATACAAATATACCTTCAGGGCAAAAGGGATAAACACAAATCGCTGTTATTGCGGTTGGCGACAGAATTATCAGAAATAGGGGTCTGAGAGGGAAGGAACGTCCGAGCCGACCCGCACTAACTCACTTACCTAGAGACTTGAATAAATTATCACTCTTTTCAATATTTAATTATAGTTTCTTAAGTAATTAAGTATATCTAATTCTCGTTGAATATTCTTAATTAAACGTTACAATTTAAGGAGAAAGGCATTTACGGACTTTACTTTTAGGTACCGTTCACTTGCAGACTTTTTATCTCTCGACTCAACGCATGTAACGTACTTCTACATAAATCCAATTTTCTTTGTAGAAACAATAATTCAGCCCATTTAAGTTTAATGATAGGGAGAATACAAGTGTAACTCCTTTGTACCATAAAATATATATTGATATGAGGGGAGTTTAGAGTCCTGGGAACGTATCAGTAGTTGTTTCTTAATAAGTCACATTAAAATTATATTTATAAATTCATAATTAATTATATTTCTAATTTACTGGATAAATTTGCTGTAGAAATTAAGTATGTAGCAATCATTTTTATAGACCTTATAAACCACTTCAATTGAACAGTTATTGATGTTTTTCCATGCTAGAAAATTAACTAATTTTATTTATACTTCATATGATTAATCAAAGTCTAAATTATATCTAGAATATACAATTGGGTACCTAATTTTCACACGATTTTAAATTAAATTATTCAAGTTCTCACTTAATGTTTACTCCTGATTTTAAATTAATGAATTTGTCTTTGGTAAAAATCTATAATATAGTAAGTAATATGGTCGGTTCGATAGCAGTCACTAGTGAATCCGAGAGATGGGTCTAAAGTTCGAAAAGTTCACGAAGTTTTAGTGCTGGTTTAAGTAAGATTATTAAAAGTTTGCCAAAGTATCATTAACTCTGTGTGATGAATCAACAATTTTAGATAAGGAGTAATAGTAAAGATCAACAACTATCTAAATCTACTGAGCTAATTAACTAAACAGTGCTAAGCCTTATCTCCTTAACTTTAACAACAGCATATAAAAAAATATAAATATATCATAAAAAATAAAACAAATTACACCCCGCATTCATCGAAGAGAAAACAGAGACACTGTACAGTATAACACTACATAACTGGATAGGTGTGTGGGTGTGAATACGTATAAATAAAAATACTTAAGGATGTCTGAGAGAATGGGTGATATATGTTTAGTTTGTAATTTGCATGCGTTGAGGGTTATAGGACTAGGTTAAAGACCCAGAGCCAAACTTTTGGACATGACCGAGGTTTAATCCCGAACTGCCCACATGACGTTTGTTAAAGGAATGTTTTCTTCGTATTATATACATTTATTTATTGAAAGCGTTGTGTAATAGTTGCGCAGTACGTTTACAGGTCATCACATGGTAATTATTTAATCACCCGACGGTCAATCTCAAAAGTCGGACAACCTGCTAACAAATTTAACAATTGAAATTGTACCGGACAGAAATGTTTTATTCACCAAAATGATTTATTACAACTTCTGCTGCACATTTTTTTTTTTTAATCAAAAAGAAATTTCTTAGGTTTATTGTTAATATATCGACTGTTCCAATGTGCACTCCAATTATAAACAATGATTTTAGTCAAACTAAACTTTTAGTCAAATCTAAATTAGGTGCTATTCATCAAATAATCACCGCTCACTGAAGAAGATAGGAAACAAAAATAAGTGACGGATTTTTGGCCAACTGCCACTCAACCTTAACCTTTTAAAACAAATCACTTAAAATGAACGATTTGTGCTTTCATTAACATGCTGTCGAACCAGTCTATTTTGACCTTACTTCACTGCACTTTTTTCCTCAAAAATATTAATAGAACAAATGCTTTCTGTTCTGGGGGGAGGGTCTGGAGGTTGCGGCGTTCTGGAAGGGGAAGGAAGCGCATTTCTATGTTAATTATGTGTGAGAGTGTGTATGTTATATTTATTTTTTTACTAATTTGGCAACCCAAGGAACAAATGAGGGGAAACAAACACTCCGTAAACAAAACAATACATTGACCTGAAACAGAAAAATCAAAACGCCCGAATAGGTTGTATAGTGCTTAAAACATGTGAGAAAAAAAAGAGAATTTTCACGCCCATTCAGCCGACAATCACTATTACAACAACCAATGGAAATCGACCTTGCCCATGAAATGATTTACTACACATACACATATTAAGTTTTTGTTAGAAATTTGTTGACTAAGTTAAACTGGGTAAATATTTGATTTTCTGTTATCGAAAAATCTACGCTTTGACTGACTTTGTACCATAACTTAATATGCACGAGATATTCAATCAACTTGACTTTCAAAGTTCGCAATTCCAGGCAGCATCACGGCGTAGTTATACAGTACAGTCACGCAGAGTGTTTATGCGTTACGGGTTTAGTATGCCGAAGCCGGCGTCAACAATACATGTAGTAATATACATGTATTTTAAAAGGGTAACTATTTTTATGTAATCCCTCTAAACTATCCCTAAACCTTACACATGTAGCTCACAAAATGCTTCATGTCTTTCAAGGTATTTAGGTTTTTTCGTGTTCTCATTAAAAGATTAACACCACTTCTTGTGGAGATAAATGCATCACAACTTAACAATACAACAAATGCAATTTTTTAACTACCGTCCATAGTCAGCATACAATTAAAAGATCAATATTTGGTGATCTAGTGTACCCTAATTAGACTCCACACCTCAAAAATGATGAGATGTCTTGAAATAGCTGAATATATACAAAAAGCGGTTAACCATATAAGAGGTTTAAATTTCCAAAAATTCCAGGAAAGAAGGATGGATAAGAATTTACACACTGAATTTTTTCTGATACAATTGAAATTTACACAATCGGCAACAAAGAGTAACAATCTTTGAAAATTATATACTAAACTAAACATTTTTTCTTCTTAATGCGTCAAAGCGCTCATTTATTTTAAAATATTCGTCTGATAAACAAGTCTAACAAAATAGGTCCCGCAGTGATCGTATTAAGGTTTATTCTCTATATTAGATTTTTAGGTAATTTTATATTTACTCAAAACCTAACCTTAAAAAACAATATTATGACGGAAAATAAAGTAAAGTAGTAGATAATAACCTAAAACTTCACGGTTATGATTGTAAACGACTTTTTGATATATTAAAATTACCTATAAAGTCCATCTTTGAATATGCCTCTACATGTGAAAGTTAATAATCAATGAATGTTACTCGATTTTGTACCGGCAAAACCGCGGTCTTTTGTTGTGTGAAAGTGGAAAGGGTGTGAAGTGAATAATCGTGAGAAGTTGCTACTATGATTATCATATCCTAGGTAAAAAATAAAGCTTTATAACTAGTAACCGGAACATATTTACGACCATATCTACTATGACATGCATAAGCTAGGCAATTTATAGTAATATAGGTATTATAGGTAAATTAACTAATTTGAACTAACATTTCCTAGAGCATTAATTTACCGTTGGCAGAAAAATTTATTGGTTTTGTGAAATATACATTTGCTTCAAGCAAATAGTGATAAGTCATTTGGGTAGTTTAAACCAATTTAAGCCAATCGAGAAACAGCCAAAGCAAACTATTCCAACTATGGAATTACTTACTTTACAAAAGGTACACAACCCTCGAACTCTTCTTTAGATAAAATCATCGATTTAAGGATTTAGTAGGTTGTACGATAAACGAATTGTGTCGACCACCTTGGCGTATGTGTTGTTTGAATTCTTTGTTCTTATTAGTCGAAAGATTTAATTACAGCCTATCGAAATGGTTTGACAGTAAAATGACAAAACAAATTCAAATTTTCTCCAACCGAAAGTATTTTCCATCGAGGAAATTGGCTGGAAAGTTTTATTTGTTTACCTGTTTACAATTAGTGACTGGTCTTGGTTCGTCTATCCACTCCCTCTATAAATCAAAAAGTATCCACTTTCCCAAGAGCAAACAACACTTGTTTTGACGGGTTGCTGGTTTCAACTGATTTAGACCGTTCGACGACACAATTCTCATTTCATATTAATGAAAGAATGAACAGGGTTGACGTTTGTTATCCAATAATGAAATCATGTCCATCATTGTCAACGGACTGTGAAAACAGCTCCCGCCCTCTCAAGAAGACCAGAAATTGCTCAAACTTTTCAATATATATTTGCATTCCATCCGTAACTTATTAATTCAATTTATACTTGGAAAAATGACACAGTAAAATACACATGATCGTTTCAACTTCGTGAGAAGACGAACATTTGATTTTGACTGACAATCAACCGAACAAACGAAGCAATAACTCACTTTCCATCCTCTATTGAAACATGCAAACCATCAACGAAAGACAAACGTATTTATTCTTGTGACTTCAAGAGCCTCAGCTAGCAAGAAACCGACTGTCTATTTTGATAAGACAGCGGTCCGAACAAAATGCTCTCGGTTTTTTTTCCTTACTCGGCTGGCATAGTCATGCAAGCACTAACAGAAAAAAATCCAATTTCGACTCGTTAAGCCCTCTTTTATTTGAACGTGTAATCGATGATAACGTGTTTATTTTAACAAGGGATATTGAATTTGTCAACTGCAATCTAATAGATATTGGAAAAATCAATTAATAGAAAATTATGAAGTGCAACAATTCTATTCTATATCACAAGTAAGCCATTAATTATCACACTGCGTACATGCCTTACCACTAATAATCGTTTTTAGTTTCCTAAACTATAAAACCTCCTAATTGGTAATACAATTCGAAAGGTGGATTCGCACTGCAAATCGCATAAAAAATTCCAACGTTACATTATATATAAGCCTGTGCTTACGATTTATCTAAAATTAACAGTCAGGATATAGTGAAAAAATATGTTACTCGACAACCTGATTTAAAACAGATTTTAAAAAATCGTGAGAACAGAATTAAAATATTATTGCGAAGCGTTTTTGCAGAGTGAATCACAGATGTTAGAAAGCATTATGTACCGGGTCTGTTGATTTCGTACTATTCAGCGTGTAATGTAAAAAGCAAAAAAAAATAGTTGGATATTAAAGGGTGTAGATATTAAAGTTTTTGTAGATATTCAATACGAATTAATTCCAACATTTTATCATAAACCTCATAAGTTGGTAAATTGTAAATTTTAAGGAAAGAATTGAAAGAATATATTAATATTAATCTATAAGTACAGAATTAATGTTGTGTGTTTTGATAGGTGAAAAAAAATTGAAGTTAATTACTGTATTGGGCGTAATCATGAAACTATTGTAAGAGTAAAAACAACACCGTAATAATGTAATGTTATGGTCAACCGCACATTTCAGGAAAAAATATATAAAAAAATAAAACAGTAGGAATTAAAAAATAATATAAGTGTACCTAAATGTTTCTATTTTGTTATGAGTTCCACTTACCACTGTGATCGGATAAACTGGGTTGATAATCGTAAATAATAAAACGTTATTCGGCTCACTTTCAGGCCTGTAATAAAATGTCAAGTATGAACAACATGTATGGTCAGCGCTATATGTATTCATGTACACAAAAATGCAAGTAAATCTCTTTAAAAAAACGAAAAAAATAGTTGATAATGTTGTGGAAGTTGTGAACGGTTGTTTTTGAACTACATCTATAATAATGATAGGAGAGATGGGTTCATGTTTAATGCAATCCTGGACAGCATTTCGTATATTTATGGACATTATTAACAATTTTTTTCGTGCTACCGATGAGTAAGAGGATGACTTCTTTTAACAACGGGATGAGAAATTATCCTAATATTCAATACAATTTAAAACCTTTACATACCGTTTCCTCCTGGGTTCGTAATTTTTGTTGTAGTTATCCGTATGATCCTGAAAACATACAAAATAATTATTTTATTACTAGAATAAAACACCATTTATAAAATTGTAATTAAGAACGGACGGACCGCCAGCCAACTCGACAAAGAAACCTACTACGCAATTGCAACTGTTGTAAAAGTTCAATTTGGTTTCGGGAAAATGGATGAAAAATATGCTTTTCCTTTTTTTTATACAACAAACACTATTGAAACGTTCACAATGGCCATAGAATGCGTCTTTATGAATAGTTGAGAGAGTGAGGAAGGGGAAAACTCAGGTTTTACTAAATTGTACCGGCGGCAACAGATATTTTTTTTCAATCTCGTCGTAAATATTGTACTGATTTGATTCAAAGAAACAAAGAGCAAATAAAACTCACTATATTCAGTGATTTTGAGAAAGAAATATTTGTTGATTTTAAATGTGTTTAAATTAAATATTTTGAAGAGTAAGAAGTACCGAGCGACGAAACAGTACTCGAGTAGAGAAAATAAGAATCTATGTCTTACCAAGAGGCTGAAGTCTGGTGGCATTGTGTCATCAACTAAATACCCTCCTCCTAATTCTTGGGCGCACAACGGAAACATTTTATGCTAAAATCTGGCTAGGATTCTCTATAAAACTTTTCTAAACTAAGATTGCCTAAGGGATTATCACATGTTTGAATTAGTAGTACAATAGCGTTGAGGTAATGAAACGGGTCACTGCCCCCTTAATAAACTTACACGAAGCTTCTGAGCCGACAACAGCAAAATACTATCACGACCTGAAGTTTCAAACAAGAGGAATTTTGATCTAGGGAGATAATCAGAGAGACAATTTTGACAGCGCTAACCTCATTATAATATCAGAAAATAAACGACTTAAAAATTTACAGCTGTTGGAAAAAATGTTTAGAAGAAATTATGAAATTAACAGCTTTTGTTTCGAGCACAACATAAAATATGAAATGTAAAGTTTTTAAAGCATATGGGAAAAAAGTAAAGTACTCGTAGTAATAATTAAACAGTCTCCAAAATGTAAAATGTAAACTTTATCGCATCTAAAATGACAATAAAAAGGGTAGCTTCGTGCTCCCGGAATTTAGATTTTCTATAAAACGATAATGTACATTACTGAATAGATTAAAATAAACAAGATACAAATTACAACATGCAGTTAACTTTCAAATAAATTGTTTACTGTGTCAAAGATAATGTAGGATAACAAAAAGTGGTATCATTGATGAATACACCAGATTTTTTACTTTTTAAAACAACAACACATTATATATATATTTACGGGACGAATCAGAACAACTTCCAACGACCTACGTAAAAAATGTTTACAAAAGCTGTTGGCATTGTTTTGGAAGATGCTATCTACACAACAAAAATAGCAACTAAGCAAAATTATTTACTTAAAATATAGTTCCAAATTGTACTCCATCCAACTTTTATTTCAATCATGACTAAGAGGCCTGAAAAGGTATATACAAATTATTGACTAACCTTATAACTAAACGACCAGGAAAACCACAACAGAGTGCTAAGAATAAAAACATAGCCATAAAATACGAATAGAATACGAATGTGAGGAAAAACCACTTTTACATAATGTATGTATTTCACAAGAGTTTCTACTACACCAATTTAAATATACCAACGAATACAAATTTACGATAGACAAGTATTTTTTGAGATTTTGTTTGATTCAGGATTGAGGATCATAAAAGAATTGGTGTTGGTGTACTCTTTTTAAGACTTTTCCATATTACGGTAATAAGTTCAAACATCAACCACTTGAAGTGACAATTCTAAAATTGAGAGATATCCATGAAACGAAGCATTTACATATCCACACAACTCTACTGAATTGTGAAACTGTTTACAGTGGGGGGGGGGTAAGCCGAGACAATTGACTGTACCCATCTCATGTTGTTTGCAGTCCGGGATATATACATAACTGGTCTTCTACATCATGCTCACCGAAAATTAATATTCCATATTTACATTCTCAATCATTCTTTTAAATGCATTCTCTCTTACATTCATCCGAATCAACAAGTAGAGCGATGGAGCACTCGATATTCATACATCAGCCATTTCAAACTACAGACCCACGACTTTAAATACACTCTCGCAATATATTTAACAGAAAAAGCATCATATAGAGCACCCCATTGTTACCGAAGATCAGAATTGGGGCTCAAAAGTATCGCCGCCTTGCCGTATATCCTATGGCTTTCCATCTATACTATTCGCTCTCTATACAAAGTAAAGTAAAGCAAAAGTAATTCCTGTCATACTGGTGGCTGAACGTCTAACGACGGGTATCGCGGACTTGAAAAGCAAGGGGCTATGCCGGGAATCAAATCCATGACCGCTAGCGTGACATATGTACATATGAGTTATGAGACAAGGAGTGAGACACATCTAGCAAACTTTCCCTGCATGCCGGACACATGGACGGAGCTTTGGACCAAAAGTGTCCGAGAATTAACCACGTATTCGACATCGGGTTACAGGAAATCAAATTTTTGCAATTATACAATGTCACTGTCCCCCTCCCAAAAGTTTTCATAAAACGATCGGCTAAATATACACACACAAACCAAAGTTAAAGAATATTTTTAAAAAGCCTTCAAAGGAGGATGAAATTTATAAAACAAAAGAGCTAGAAAATCAATCTGGGAATGTAATATAACAGAGCATTACAAAAGGACTAAAAATTATAACTACATTTCATAGATGAAGATTATCTAACAACTCAGTTATACATGAACAGTTGTACAAAAGGAGAAGTAACTAAGTTAAAAATCTGTGAAAAAATACATATATTTAAAATAAGTAAACTACATTATTTACGGCATTGTCACGATTTTCCAGTTTCCTTCACAAATATAATCAGCATCTAAGATTTAAGAAAATAAATTTCAAAACGTCTATCTTTAAGATTATTACCATTTACTTAGTTAATCTTTTTTAAACAGATAGCATGTAAGCCAGTCGAAACTTTATATAAGGAATAAACACAAACCTCCAGAATATAGTGTTTTTTCTATAGTCGGATACAGTTAAAAGGAAACTGTGATCAGTACACTTATGAAGTCCTAAAACCACTCGAAGAATGAACGACTCCAGAAATATTCAAGTGCTTCTGGTAGAAATTTGAAAAAAAATATATATATATAATTAATCAGCAAATACAGAAAGGTTTTCTGATAAATAACGACTTTCTATTGAAGGAAAATGATTATGGGAGGGGCGTCGGTGCCGCAACGGTTTAGACGTTGCCATGTAGGTAAAAGGTAAAAGTCCTGTGTTCGAATCCAGAGGCTCTGCACTCGAATCCGACTTTTTTTTTAAATACCGACCGCACGAGTTCATACAACTAACTCTTTGTAAGTGAAATGCCCTCGTTAAAAAAATAATAATATAATTTTTTTAATAAAAAAAAAAGATTATGGGGTTCGATTCATGAAACATATTTCACGAAAATATGAAAGTGTAAACAAATTGGTAAAGTTGTTGACAATTACAACGTAATCTATGATGACTGAACTTATGATGATTAGCAGATTTCGAGAATTTTCCCTAAATCCTCTTTACAAGCCGATTAATACAAATGGAAACGTGTATTGTACCCGCATATCTGTTAAAACAAAGGAAAATATTCATAAGCCGCCAATTCATTTGGTAGAAGAAAAAATGAATTGAAAATAAAACATTTGCAGATAAGGCGATGAACACAATAGGAACAAAGTAAATAAAAAATCGTTAAAAAAGGAGGGATTTAGTGACATATAATTCATGACAAATGCGTGGTGGAATGCGTGTTACAGAATTGATTGATTATTTATAAATAAAGTAATTGTTCTCATTGATAATAACTAAGGGGACTTAAAATAAATCAAACTTGTATAAACGCGAAAATCATCGTTTTATATTATATTATATACGTCGTATATTTTATTGCATGAGTCATTTAAGTGCTTCAACAAAACATTTTAAATGAAAACTAGTTGACTCACTAACCGCACGATACAACCATGAGAACTTTGAATTAATTGAAAACTATGGATCTACTCACAAACCGTTTTTCACAGTTATCCTGATTTCGAGTTCACAATGCTGATTGTCAGGCTGAATAAACATCTACACGTATGTTTGTCCAACATAAAGTATAGAAACATCGTTTTCATTCTATGAAATGAATATATTCACTCCACCTGAAATATTTCTATAAAAAAATAACCTTAAAAACCATCTAAAATACCTTTTAGACATTTCAGAATTCTTTTACAGGTGCAACACCACAGACCAAGAGAAGTTTGAGTCACAAATCAAAATAAAACCAATTTGAGTTTTATGAACAGAGAAAACCTACAATCTGTTTATCTGGCCTATCCAAATATGCCCTATTATCCGTCAATAATTACATTTATATTTATTTAATGACCTCACCAAAAATATTCATTTTGATTTGAATTTCCATCGTGGGGTATATATTTCCAAAGGTGTTCAACCGTTCGGAGACGCAAAATTTTTTTTTGCATTTGTAGACATATTTAAGATTGTTTTGCCCTGATGATGACCTTAAAATAGGTCGAAAGCTAGGCAGTAACAACTGAATTTGCTTTTTTTCTTCAAGACCATACCTTGATTCAGGATATTCGTGCAGTACGAAAATAAAATTATTCACAGCCCGTGTAATAATTTTTATTATTGTTTATTTTTTTATTTTTTTGCTTTGCCGGGCAGGGATCCGCCATGCCACCAATAATTTGTTGTTTCAATGTAGATTTTTGCTCATGATGAAGAAAAAGTTCAAAAACGTGCCGATTTTTCGTGATATATCATAACATCTTCAGGTTCTAAATAAAACAAAATACATGTTTTTAATACCAAATGGATCGGATGGCAAATACCTTTTCCAGATACAAATTTGTTTATTTATTTACAAGCAATAGCCCATTGACAATATTAAAATAATAGCATAAAGTATAATTTAGAAACCAATATTTGAATACAAAAATAATATTTGGAATTAAGAATTTTGAAAATAAGATTAAATAATTATACATACATATATGCACACAGCAACAATTAACACATACATATAGATACATACTTAAACACATACACCAGACATATTAATTGACCGTTGTGCAAGTTCCTCTCAACGTTTTAATGTTGGGTTGCATATTGACCAGAGGAATCATGGGAGAGCGAGAAGTGTAGTTGGTACGGGAAATTTTTGAATGGTAGAATACTGATTAATTATAGAATATTGATTGATGGTAGAATACTGTTTTAAAGCGGGTGTGGAAGAATGAATGGGACGTGAAAATTGAGATATATTATTATTAAGAAGGCTGCGGATAAATATTATATCAGACATATTTCTTCTTTCATGAAGAGCATCTTCATTAAAAGATTTGTTGCGGAAGGAGACAGTAATTTCGCTTGTATTTTATAATGTTTGGATGTTGATGTTGGTATTTGGAGACCAAACAGGATTATAGCGCATTTTAAAACTTGTCGAACTATTGAAGTTTAAAGACAGACTAAAGGAGTGGTTGCTGTGAAGCATGAGAGGATCTATAAAGCAATTCTAGAAGTTTGTATGCCCATTTGCAAATGATTTCTGTGTGAAGGAAGAATGTTAATTTAGTATCACGCCAGATTCCTAAATTTTTAGTCGAGTAGTATTTTATTAATCACATATTAAAAAGAAACATTTGTAACTTTACGGGAATAAGTGATAATAGAGAACTATACGTTACATCTTAAAACCTTCGCAGACCAGGTTTTTATTTGTACTCTAAAACTTCATTTTGCCTAAGTCCAAAAAACCTGCTTGCTTCCCAAATCGAGTTTAACCAAAATCACAATCACCGATATTATCAACTCGAAGGTTTCCTGGTTCTTACATGGCGTTCTCAGGCGAACAATATAGCCTTTT